TCTACTCCGCTCCGACCCCCCCTGTCCAACCTCTGCGGAGAGACCACTACTTCACACAGAGAGCAAGAGTCCACCTTTGCTGAATGCTGCCAGGGGACAGGCTTTTCTACTCAGCTCTGACCCCCATGTCTGACCTCTGCAAAGAGACCACTACTTCACACAGAGAGCAAGAGTCCACCTTTGCTGAATGCTGGCAGGGGACAAGCTTTTCTACTCAGCTCCGACCCCCCCCCCCCCCCCATGTCCGACCTCTGCAGAGAGACCACGGCTTCACACAGAGAGCAAGAGTCCTCCTCTGCTGAATGCTGGCAGGGGACAAGATTTTCTACTCAGCTCCGACCCCCCCCCCCCCCATGTCCGACCTCTGCAGAGAGACCACGGCTTCACACAGAGAGCAAGAGTCCTCCTCTGCTGAATGCTGGCAGGGGACAGGCTTTTCTACTCACACTGTGACTTTCTTCTAAAGAAACTAATTGTACGACTTTGCAGCCAACCTATTGAGCCTTAAACTGTGTGTGTGAAACAGCAACAACCTTCTGTACCCCTGTAAAAGCATCATCAGGTCGGCAGAGTTTTTGCTGTCACTGCGGCATGCACATGTTGCACAAAGTTTTGTGTGCAGGTGCACCCTGATGTGGGGGGGGGGGGGGATGTGCTCCAAGGTTTTTGAAGGAGTTTAAGGACTTGGGTATGATTTTTTTAGTATATTTTTTTTTTTTTTGGCTAATCTTTACTTTTCATGTGATAGGGGATGGAAAGCCCCCCTATGTGATCCTATTTTGTGACAAGCTCCCTTTAATGAGACGTCAGGGGTCTTTTATACCCCTGCTATCTCACCCGTCCTCCAGTGAAGCTGATGGAGTGCAGATCATGTTCTATTAACTTCTTTCACGGCCGCATTGGCTGGGGAACCCAGGAAGGGGAGATCAGTGAATGGACTTCCCATGGTAGCCAATCAGCTTCTAATTTCAGCTTGTTCAATTTCGCTTTGACAATAAAACCTGGAAGCTGATTGGTTTCTATGCAGAGCTGCACCAGATTTTGCATTCTCCAGTTTTAGTAAATAACCCCTAATGTCTACATTGCAGGCAAATGTTTAGGTTGTCACCAGAGCAGAAACAGAAGGAAAATATCCATTGGGGACACTAGTTCTAGTGACTACCCTCACTTTAAAGAGATTTCCTCTCACTTCCTGTTTTGGGTATGGGACAGGATGGAAAGGGAAATCTCCCCAACGAGACACAGATGGCAAAAAAGGCTTACAGGGGTCATAACCCTCCCTTATGCCTCGTACACACTATACGAAAATTTTCATACGAGGACCGATCGCCCGATAATCGGATCGTCAGTACACAGATTTCGAGAGCCGATCACGACAATTCGTACAACAATATTCGAAGGGACAAGCACAAAAATTTTTCTCGTACGACACCAGATTGCACGATTTTCGTTTAATCAGTACAGTAGTCGTCTGAGAATACAATACAAATACAACACAATACATGACATCCCTTTCGAATTTCTTTTCTTTCATAGGAGAATTTTCCTATCTTTAGTAACCTTTTCCCTTTCGATGTGAGACTAGCAGGCGAAAAAAAACGGCCGATCGTTTGTCCGACATTCTCATCGTGTGTACAGGGAATAACTCTATCATAAGGCCCCTTTCCCACGGATGTTCCGATCGGCTCCGCCTGCCCGTTTTTCATGCAGAACCAATCAGAACCTATATTCTCCTCTATGGAGCAGCAGGTATAAACCGACAAATGTCTGTTTACACCTGCCAACATCCAATCCAATCCGCCAAAAAGAGACGGATGGAGATCCATCCCTCTCATGGATCGGATGGGATGGCACTTGGATAGAAACGGACAGGCGGTCCGTTTCCATCCAACTGCTCATAGAGGACAGCAGACTGTGCCTGTGTCCGCTCTGCAGCAGCGGAGCAGACATGGACCTATCATCCGCTTGCTCAGAGGAGAGAGAACCCTGCTGAGCAAGCGGGTCCGCTGACGGGTCCGCCCCGTGTGAAAGGAGCCAAAAAAGGAAAAAAAAGAGATTTTGCTCTTAACTAACATTAACAAAGCCTAGTGTTTCACTGCTTGTAAATTTGTAGGACAAGTATTTCCAACCAAAACTGATTTATAGCTGTTCAGAACTCATTTGGAGGGGTTGGATTTTATTTATACATTGGTCAGACAATGACGGATGCTCTTGGATGCAAACCAGGCAGAAGCTTTACAATGCTGGATTCCACCTACCACATTCTTATATACTGTATGTACACACATAGGCTGCCATACATTATTCCTCTCACTGACACCAATGATGGGGCACTATTCCCTCCACTGACACCAATGATGGGGCACTATTCCTCCCACTGATACCAATGATGGGGCACTATTCCTCCCACTGATACCAATGATGGGACACTATGCTTCCCACTGACACCAATGATAGGGCACTATTCCTCCCTCTGATACCAATGATGGGGCACTATTCCTCCCACTGATACCAATGATGGGGCACTATTCCTCCCACTGACACCAATGATGGGGCACTATTCCTCCCACTGACACCAACGATGGGGCACTATTCCTCCCACTGATACCAATGATGGGACACTATTCCTCCCACTGACACCAATGATGGGACACTATTCCTCCCACTGATACCAATGATGGGGCACTATTCCTCCCACTGACACCATTGATGGGGCACTATTCCTCCCACTGACACCAATGATGGGGCACTATTCCTCCCACTGACACCAATGATGGGGCACTATTCCTCCCACTGACACCAATGATGGGGCACTATTCCTCCCTCTGACACCAATGATGGGGCACTATTCCTCCCACTGATACCAATGATGGGGCACTATTCCTCCCACTGACACCAATGATGGGGCACTATTCCTCCCTCTGACACCAATGATGGGGCACTATTCCTCCCACTGACACCAATGATGGGGCACTATGCCTCCCACTAACACAAATGATGGGGAACTATTCCTTCCACTGACACCAATGATGGGGCACTATTCCTCCCACTGACACCAATGATGGGGAACTATTCCTTCCACTGACACCAATGATGGGGCACTATGCTTCCCACTGATACCAATGATGGGGCACTATGCCTCCCACTGACACTAATGATGGGGAACTATTCCTTCCACTGACACCAATGATGGGGCACTATTCCACTGACACCAATGATGCAGCACTATTCCTTCCACTGACACCAATTATGCGGCACTATTCCACTGATACCAATGGTGGGGCACAATAGCTCCCCTTGAAAGCATAGATGGGGCACTATTCTTCCCACTGACACCAACATTGTGGCACTATTTCTCCACCTAATACCAAAGATGGGGCACTATTTACTCCCACTGGCACCAAGACACTTTTACTTTCGCTGGCCACAGTTTGGCCCTCCTAAAGTCTGAAGGACAGTAAACCGGCCCTTTAGCTAGAAAGTTTGTAGACCCCACCCCAATTTAGACATTGACACTATGGGGTTTATTTACTAAAGTTGGTTCACTCAGAATCCCGTGCACTTCTGCATGGAAACCAATCAGCTTCCAGGATTTTTTGCAGCTTAATTGAACAAGCTGAGGTTAGAAGCTGATTGGCTACCATGCACAGGTGAACGAGATGAACCAGATTTAGTAAATAAACCCTTATAATTGGTAGTAAATACTTGAATTTGTAACAATAACACATTATTGAGCATGTATGCACTCAGCATGGCCATTTACTGTATATCTGATGACAGGTCCTCCTAGGTATTCCCGTGAAATTATTACTTCCAGGCATGTAGTCGACAACATTACAAAGCCTGCAGCTCCCTATTAAAGGACCTGTTGGCGAATTGTGCAGAATCCCGGGGCTGGTGTGCAGGGAGGGCGCAGTGCATGTGCACAGGCAGGCACTGTGTACTCAGTACATTGTAGACACCTGGGTGGTCATTATGGTAGGGGGTTGGGGTGGAGGATTGGGACTCCAGGGAGGCCGGTTTCCAAGCACCCGTTGTAGGAACGTCAGGCTACCAGAATCCTGAGCTCTTCAGAAAAATGAAATTGGTTGGTTAACTATTTAATCTCTTCCAAGCTGCCTACTAATATCCATTTCGCTCAAGTCAGCAATCCCAAGCCTCAGTTGGGTGCTGGACTCCAGCAGCAAACAAAGGAAGATTGTATAGTCTAAGGGTAGCTAGGCTTCCATGTGGAAGATCTGTACAAATGATCGTTCCATAAACACAAACAACTATGAAAACATTGCACGTTTGAAACAGTATCAGGAAATGCCCGCGTGTATTGTATGTGATGGTGTCGTGAAGAACTATCAGCAGAAATCACACTTGGCCTGGATGGGTAGGTCACACGTCGATCTCTCCAAATCTCATGCATTGGCGTCTTCTTGCCATGAACTATTGGAAGCTTACTCAGGCTGTGCATGCGCCCTCCGATCTTTAGTGATTGGCTGCTCAGACACTGAGCACTGCATGGCGGGGATGCTATGGGGGTGTTGCGTGGTCCTCCATACCCAGGAATACACAATATCTTTATAGGCCCCTGAGCCATGTGGAGAGGGAGCCAGTAATATGTACTGTAAGTAAAATGAATCTGTTACTCCACTACGTACAAGCACACGTGCACTTCAGGTGTTAGGGTAAGGGATAAGTGTCAGGGTAGGGTTCTTCAGTGTAAGGTGAGGTTTAGAAAGTTCAATTAAATTGAGATAACCATGCCAAGAGCTTACTTTCGTTTTTCTTATAGTAGCCTTCCTCAGTCTTTTTTCTCCAGGGGAACCCTTGAAATAACTTTCAGGTCTCAGAGAACCCCGGCTAAAACCAGTTAATTGGGGGTCAGTGGGAAGAATGTCCCTTACATTGGTGATCAGTGAGAAGAATGTCCCTTACATTGGTGGTCAGTGGGAAGAATGTCCCTTATGCTGGAGGTCAGTGGGAAGAATGTCCCTTACATTGGTGATCGGTGGGAAGAATGCTCCTTACATTGGGGGTCAGTGGGAAGAATGTCCCTTACATTGGTGGTCAGTGGGAAGAATGTCCCTTACATTGGTGGTCAGCGGGAAGAATGCTCCTTACATTGGGGGTCAGTGGGAAGAATGCTCCTTACATTGGGGGTCAGTGGGAAGAATGTCCCTTACATTGGTGGTCAGTGGGAAGAATGTCCCTTACATTGGTGGTCAGTGGGAAGAATGCTCCTTACATTGGGGGTCAGTGGGAAGAATGTCCCTTACATTGGAGGTCAGTGGGAAGAATGCTGCTACATTGGTGGTAAACGGGAAGAATGTCCCTTATGCTGGAGGTCAGTGGGAAGAATGTCCCTTACATTGGAGGTCAGTGGGAAGAATGCTCCTTACATTGGAGGTCTGTGGGAAGAATGTCCCTTATGCTGGAGGTCAGTGGGAAGAATGCTCCTTACATTGGTGGTCCATGGGAAGAATGTCCCTTACATTGGAGGTCAGTGGGAAGAATGCTCCTTACATTGGAGGTCAATGGGAAGAATGCCCCTTACATTGGTGGTCCATGGGAAGAATGTCCCTTACATTGGTGGTCAGTGGGAAGAATGTCCCCTACATTGGAGGTCAGTGGGAAGAATGCCCCTTACATTAGTGGTAAGTGAGAAGAATGTCCCTTACATTGGAGGTCTGTGGGAAGAATTTTCCTTACATTGGGGGTCCTTGGGAAGAATGTCCCTTACATTGGTGGTTAGTGGGAAGAATGTCCCTTATGCAGGAGGTCAGTGGGAAGAATGCCCCTTACATTAGTGGTAAGTGAGAAGAATGCTCCTTACATTGGAGGTCTGTGGGAAGAATGTCCCTTATGCTGGAGGTCAGTGGGAAGAATGCTCCTTACATTGGTGGTCAGTGGGAAGATTGTCCCTTACATTGGGGGTCCGTGGGAAGAATGTCCCTTATGCTGGAGGTCAGTGGAAAAATGTCCCTTACATTAGAGGTCAGTGGAAAGAATGTCCCTTACATTGGAGGTCAGTGGGAAGAATGTCCCTTACATTGGAGGTCAGTGGGAAGAATGTCCCTTACATTGGAGGTCAGTGGGAAGAATGTCCCTTACATTGAAGGTCAGCGGGAAGAATGTTCCTTACATTGGACTCAGTGGGAAGAATGTCCCTTACATTGGACTCAATGGGAAGAATGTCCCTTACATTGGACTCAGTGGAAAGAATGTCCCTTACATTGGACTTAATGGGAAGAATGTCCCTTACATTGGACTCAGTGGAAAGAATGTCCCTTACATTGGACTTAGTGGGAAGAATGTCCCTTACATTGGAGATCAGTGGGAAGAATGTCCCTTACATTGGAGATCAGTGGGAAGAATGTCCCTTACATTGGAGATCAGTGGGAAGAATGTCCCTTACATTGGAGATCAGTGGGAAGAATGTCCCTTACATTGGAGATCAGTGGGAAGAATGTCCTGTACAATAGTGGTTAGTTGGAAGAATGTCCTGTACATGGGTGGTGGCCCTGTAACTATATAGGTACCATCAGATGTGAGGTCAATTAGCCATAGCTCTAGGAACCCCTAGCAACCTCTGGAGAAAACCTAGGATTCCACTAAACCCTGGTTGTGAATGGCTGCTATTTAGAGTGCCCACATCGACTAGTTTATTGGTCTACTTTTGCCTCGATGAGGGTGCAAATATTGGTACCCCTAATGCTTACCAAACAGATGGTTGAAGAGCTCTCTCATTGACACCCGCTGTCCTTATATGCATTCTGTTATGTAGCCAAGTCAAAGAGGAGAACAGAAGGGTTCTCGGCTAGGCCTTATGGAGAACGGCAGTACATATTTCAGCGGAACGCATTCCTCCACTGTCAAGCTAAGAGAAGGTTGCAGCAAGTCAACAACGTTTATGAGGTGGACATGTATGGCCAAATCCATGTCATCTCCTGGTTTACTGATATTACCTATATCTTTGCTGCAGAACTTGCCATTTTCTGCTCTTGAAGTCAGCCGGCTTGTTGTATGAGATACGGCGTCCCCTGCAATGTTCTTAAAGTTAGTGTGCTGGACGTTCCATCATTTTTCTGAGGAACCTAAATTGTCGGTGCATTGTTTCCATTACAACTCTGGAAATGATGATTTGAGTACCTTGAGGGCTTATTCTTCTACTGAGCAATCACTTAGCTCTCACTGCATTGCAGTAGCCTTATCTCAGTATCTCCAGGTCACAAGCAGGTAAGGCTGTGCAGTAAAGTTTTCAGTAATCTTTGTAATTCATATAGCCATTGATTTTCTCTCTGCACAGCTGGGATGCTCTCACAATCCTCTGTACAGAGGTCTATTATTATTACTGAGAAAAGACGCAACCTCAGTAATGAAGCACTGATTTGATTGCTGTCAGGTCCCTGTATAGCAATAGATTGCGGTTGCCATGGAGAAGTATTGTCACACACCCCCTCCACCCAACCTCATTGTTGTCCTCCTCCACCCAACCCCACCATCGCCCTCCTCCACCGCCGACCCTTTGTGTTGTAATCCGCCTGCATGCAGAGGAGGGAAATTGTGAATGCAAGTTTATTAGAACAACAAGGAGCCTTTTCATTCATTTCAAGGGGAAAAGAAAACTTTTTATAACTGATTTTTTAAATAAACTTTATCCAACAGGAACCCAACTCCCATCACCAAACCCATAAAGGCTGTAGGAAGAAAAGCACTGCTCTATCTTCATGCAGTAATGGCATTTATGGCTCTTGCCTGTTCTTGTTCATGCTTAAAGGATCAGTCCACCTGAAAGTGATATTTTTGTTATGGGTGGGGCCTGGCAGACTGACTATAGATTCCTATAGAGCTTAGATCCTCCAACTTCCGAGTTCTCCCAACTTTGTTTCCAAACTCCTGGGAGTTTTGAAGGCCTACTTCCCGCCTTTGTGTGTCCCAGCTCCTCCTATTATTATTATTATTATTATTATTTTTATTATACAGGATTTATATATTATTATTATTATACAGGATTTATATATTATTATTATACAGGATTTATATATTATTATACAGGATTTATATATTATTATTATACAGGATTTATATATTATTATTATTATTATACAGGATTTATATATTATTATTATACAGGATTTATATATTATTATTATTATTATTATTATACAGGATTTAAATATTATTATTATTATTATACAGGATTTATATATTATTATTATACAGGATTTATATATTATTAATATACAGGATTTATATATTATTATTATTATACAGGATTTATATTATATTATTATTATACAGGATTTATATATTATTTATATTATTATTATACAGGATTTATATATTATTTATTATTATACAGGATTTATATATTATTATTATTATACAGGATTTAAATATTATTATTATATAGGATTTATATATATTATTATACAGGATTTATATATTATTATTATTATACAGGATTTATATTGAGCCAACAGTTTGCTCAGCGCTTTACAATATAACGGGAGACATTACAGCAACCATACAGTTCAATACAAGGGATAGGAGGGCCCTGATCCTGGGAGTTTTGAATGCCTACTTCCCACCTTTGTGTGTCCCAGCTCCTCCCAATACTATAAAACACATTCAGGGACTATTATTATTATATTATTATTATACAGGATTTATATAGCGCCAACAGTTTGCGCAGCTCTTTACAATATAACGGGAGACAGTACAATTACAATACATTTCAGTACAGAAGGAATAGGAGGGCCCAGCTCGTGGAGCTTACAATCTAAAGGAAGGGGGAGGTGATACAAAAGATGATAGCTGCGGGGGATGGTCTGGCGGAGGTGATTCAAGTACAGTTCTTAGGTGGAGGTGGGGTAGGCTTCCCTGAAGAAGTGAGTTTTCAAAGATCGCCTAAAGGCAGACAGGGTGGGGGCTGACCGGACATGCTGTGGTAGGGAGTTCCAGAGGATGGGAGAGGCTCTGGAGAAGTCCTGGAGGTGAGCATGGGAGGAGGTGACGAGGGAGCTAGAGAGGAAGATATCATGGGAGGAGAGGAGTGGGGATTTGGCCGATATCTGTGCATGAGGTCGGTGATGTAGCTAGGGGCAGTGTTGTAGATGGCTTTGTAAGCTGTGGTTAGTATTTTGAATTTTATACGTATTATTATTATACAGGATTTATATATTATTATTATACAGGATTTATATATTTTATTATTATACAGGATTTATATATTATTATTATTATTATACAGGATTTATATATTATTATTATTTATATATTATTATTATTATACAGGATTTATTATTATTATTATACAGGATTTATATATTTATTATACAGGATTTATATATTATTATTATACAGGATTTATATATTATTATTATTATACAGGATTTATATATTATTATTATTATACAGGATTTATATATTATTATTATTATTATTATTATACAGGATTTATATATTATTATTATACAGGATTTATATATTATTATTATACAGGATTTATATTATTATTATTATTACAGGATTTATATATTATTATTATTATTATACAGGATTTATATTATTATTATTATTATTATACAGGATTTATATATTATTATACAGGATTTATGGCGCCAACAGTTTGCTCAGCGCTTTACAATATAAAGGGAGACAATACAGCAACAATGCAGTTCAATACAAGAGGGATAGGAGGGCCTGATCCTGGGAGCTTACAATCTAGGGATGGTGGAAATGTCTCCTAATGTTAATAGCAGGGAACGTAGCACAGAGATTGCAGCAATAGAGACTGTTCAGGTGTTTAAAAGAGAAGCTTCACCCCGATCGTGAAAACTAAAAGGCAGCATTACAAATGTTGTAAAAATAGATCCTGTATGTGCTGGTAGATGAAGGCTGTTGTTTACATGGATAACTTTCATAAACCCTGGTGGCCATTTGCAGTAAGGCAGAGGATTATCAGTCCCTTTACTCCCTGGAGATGTTCTGGAAGGCCCCCGCGCCTGCACACTCAGCGCTCTAGCCAGAGAATCGTAATGTTTACACGTGACTATTGTGTATTATTATTATTATACAGGATTTATATAGCACCAACAGTTTGCACGGTGCTTTACAACATGAGGGCAGACATTACAGTTTCAATACAATTCAATCAGAGGTTCCTGCTTGTTAGAGCTTATAATCTAAAAGGGAGCAATACGTGTAGATACGATTCCTTCTACTTCCATATTCCGTTCCTAGGCAAGATTGATGTCATTGGTACTGCCATCAATCTCCTGGGAGATTAATGTCATTTACCTAGAAGTCTTCAGGCAACCCTGAGAGTCCTGAGTACCAAGGCGTCAGATTGGCAGCACCTGCCGGGATTGGCAGCACATGGACAGGATTGGCAGCACGTTCATGGGATTGACAGCACATGGGAGAGATTACCAGCACAGTCACTGGATTGCCAGCACAGTCACTGGATTGCCAGCACAGTCACTGGATTGCCAGCACAGTCACTGGATTGCCAGCACAGGCACTGGATTGCCAGCATATGGACGGGATTGCCAGCACAGTCACTGGATTGCCAGCACATGGATGGGATTGCTAGTACATGGACGGAATTGCCAGCACATGGACAGGATTGCCAGCACACGGACGGGATTGCCAGCACAGGCATGGGATTGACAGCACATGCACAGGATTGGCAGCACATGGAAAGAATTGGCAGCACATGGAGAGAATTGGCAGCACAGGCAGGGGATTGGCAGCACAGGCAGGGGATTGGCAGCACATGCACAGGATTGGCAGGACATGGAGAGAATCGGCAGCACATGGAGAGAATTGGCAGCACAGGCAAGGGATTGGCAGCACATGGACGGGATTGGCAGCACATGGACGGGATTGGCAGCACATGGACGGGATTGTCAGCACACGCACAGGATTGTCAGCACACGCACAGGATTGGCAGCACATGGAGAGAATCGGCAGCACATGGAGAGAATCGGCAGCACATGGAGAGAATTGGCAGCACAGGCAAGGGATTGGCAGCACATGGAGAGAATTGGCAGCACATGGACGGGATTGGCAGCACACGCACGGGATTGTCAGCACATGGAGAGAATTGGCAGCACATGGAGAGAATTGGCAGCACAGGCAAGGGATTGGCAGCACATGGAGAGAATTGGCAGCACATGGAGAGAATTGGCAGCACATTGCACGGGATTGGCAGCACATGGACGGGATTGGCAGCACATGCACAGGATTGGCAGCAAATGCACAGGATTGGCAGCGCCTGCGTGTTCAGCTTTGTACCTTCTGGAATCATATATATTATGATACAATGGCGGTGTGTGAACAATACAGAGTACTGAGCGCTCAGGTGCGGGATTGCACATTACAATGGTAATGTGTAAATCCTATAATTCCCCAACTACAGTGCTGAGTGCACTGGCACAGGATTGACAGCCAATCTATAGGATAGGCAGCACCTGCGCATTCAGCTCTCGACCCGCA